GGGGGGGGAGAGGGCGTGTAATCGGTCAATTAACTCCGGCTGAACACTGGCTTGTGTAAAGAGGTCGTGGGAAGGCTTGGGAAAGGCAATCCAGAAATACAGAGCCCGCTGCAAGGGACTAAAACACCAAGCAACTTACAAATTCGAGTCGCGGAATGGTAATCAATCGTAACATCGGATAATACAGTGAGAAGAGGAGGTAGGGGGGCAGGAGGGATCGGGTCAAATTTCTGTTAATTCGAGTAACAGAATAGTAGCCAATCATCGCATTGGGTACAGACGTGTCACTTGCTCCTGATTAATGAGTCACATGTTCATGTTCACGACCTCAGGAGATCCTGAGCATGTGACTCATTATCCAGGAGCAAGTAAGACGTCCGTACCATTCTTCTTTCGGCTATCTTAAGTGACAGGAATGCTTCAAAGTGTGTGTGTGGACAAATTGCCGGCCCCTGCCACGGCTGATGCTTCCACCACCATTATCCCCCTCTTCTTTCTCGTTCTCCTCCTCCCACTCCTCCTCCTCCTCCTCCCCCTCCTGGAAGTCCTACTGGGATACTCGGCTTCAATCTGTCAAGCTTGGGCTCAGTGCTAATCGACAGCTGACCCTTCCCGCTGTCTGATTGTGGGTTGGAATTATCAGACCGATTGCTTTGATGATGGTGATTCTGGGGGAGGAGGGTCTGCTGCTTGCTTTCTTGCGATGCAATCCGTCCTTGCCCAGCACGTGTTTGTCCTCCCTGATTGTCGGCCGCTCCCTCCATTGATTTCAACTTCTCCTCCAGTAGTTGGATCCGCTCTCGCAGACCAATCACCTCGCTTTGCACGCTGACCAGGTCCCGACCTGCCACCTTTGCCGCTTCGTGAACGACTACCGGCCGGCCTCCTCCCCCTGAAAGCGTCTTACCGCTGCCCTCCGTATTTCCCTCCTGCTCTCCCACCGCGAGACTTGCCTGTTCCTGCTCTTCGATCTCCCTCTCCCATCTCCTGATATCCGCTCGGACCAGTTGTGCAACAAGGAACACTGCCGTTGGCGGAAGAAGCGCCATTAAAAACTGCCATATCTGAAAATCCAGCCCAAGGCGCTTTTTAACCTTTGGAGGAGAGAAAAGGATCTTCGAGGCCTTCATGAAAGTCATTGTTTCTTCTTCTCTCTCTGCTGTTGTGCCTGCTTCTGCTGCTTCCCGTTTCTGCTCCACTGCCGATCGCGATCGCATGGTGCCATCATCGTCATCTTTGTCACCGATGGGTACGGCGCCATCATCAGCCTTGCCGCACACCGGTGTGGCGCAGTGAAGAGGAGCTATCCTGACATAAAACCCTAAACCATTCGAACTTCTCTGAGCATTCTCGCAAGGCTCTCCCGAGCAGCCGCACAATTGACTGCCATCGCCTGCACCAAGTCTTTTTGCATGGCTTCGAAGCAGTAATGGCAGCAGCCTGTCAACAACCCTCCTTCTTATGCTGCGAGAGGTGATAGCCATAACGCAAGTTGCACCGTCCGTGGTTCTACTCACGCATCAGCTTCGTCTTATGACCCAATCGCTCCTGTCCCCCTACCTCCTCTTCTCATCACATTATCCAATGTGCAGCTAAAGGTGATTGACCGACTACCCCACCACCGGCCCACCCCTTTCCCAAGCCTTCCCACCGTTTCTTCACACTATCCAATGTTCAGCAGGAGACGATTGACCAATCACCACCGTCATCCCCCTCCCTCCCTAAGCTGTACCATGCTCATTCTGGCCCACCACCAGGAACAAGCTGTGCCAAACCACACACACACACACACACACACACACACACACACACACACACACACACACAGCCCACCCACACACACACACATATGTGCACACACGAATGAACAAACAAACAGACAAACAAACAGACAAACAAACAAAGTACACGAAAATGAGTCCAGCATGAACATGCGGAAGTACAATGTCAGCCAACAGATGACAGCAACACCAGAAGCCAGAAGAACAAAAGAAAAAACTGGTACCCGTGATCGATGGAATGACCAAAGAATTCCGGTCCCACTTCTGGTATCTCCTAGGGGAAGACCATCTCCAATTCTTCAATGACAACTGGGAAAAGGGTGGCCTAGCGAACATCTGAGCGCAAGTATCGTCTCCATTCTTTACAAAAACAGGTGACCAGAAAGACCTGAAAAATGACATACCAATATGCCTCTAACGGTCCCACACAAAAGGCTAGCAGAATCTATGGCCAACAGATTACTCAACCTGACAGACAAATGCTTCCACCTAGAACAAGCAGGGTTCATCCCAGGCCGCCATATCCTGAAACAATGCCATGGACCAAAGCGAGGTGTCCAAAAACGATGACCGAAAAAGATATGCAAAAAAGGCCATTGTATTCCTCGACTTTGAAAAGGCCTATGATCAGGTAAACTGGGACATTTTACGCAAATGTATGGAAAAGATTGGGGGGAAGGAATTTGAGAAACAATGCAAACGGCCTGGTCACAGTAAAT